GTGGGCACCACGGGCCCACGTGGAACGTCACCAAGTCCTCACTTTGGTTAATTGCATTCTTTCCAGTGCCAGCGTTGTCATGGACTGTCCTCAACGGGCCTCAATTTCCCATATTTGTACAACCAAAGTGACCAGTGATGGGGACCTACCTACACTGTGGAGTTTTTTTCCTCTGGTGTGCGATGATGCTTGGCAGAGCCCTCCTACCCCCTGTGCACAGCCCTTGGGGTTGAGGGGAGGCTATCTCTCTCCTGGGGATAGAGTGTCTATAGCCTTGTCAAGCAGGCTGTGTCTCTCCACCACATCCTGGTGCGAGGTCTTTCTGTCTTCCAGACAGGACCAAAAGTCACAGAAATATCCGGGCAGCTAGGCCGCATTGATTATTGTCTAGAAAAGATAAAGATTGTGAAGATAAATGAGTCATACCTTTTGATTAAGAATGTTTCAATTCAGAGACAAGGTCTCCTGAGTAAATTGGGAGCATGGGAACCTTGGGAGAGGGTTGAAGGGGAGGGGAGAGGCAGGGAGGGGAGCAGAGAAAAATGTAGAGTACACTAAAAATCAGTAAAATGAAAAAATAAAAAATATATTGGGTATTTAATAAAATGTGCTGTTAACGCTTAAAGAATGTTTCAATTCTTATTGTGGTCATGTGCTTAATAGTTTGTGAAGATCGAATCAAGTATGAGTGTTGAAGACGGTTTTTCTTAGGAAATCGGGCAGGAACAGCCTTCCTAGCTGATTGGCTGTAAGATTTTTTTTCCCCCCAAAACCGTCAGGGCTAGCCAGGTATGGTGGTGCACACCTTTAATCCCAACACTTGTTACCTTTAATCCCAGCATTTGGGAGGTAGAGTCAGGCAGATCTCTGTGAGTTCAAGGCCAGCCTGTACAACCTACATAGTGAGTTACAAGACAGAGAAACCCTGTCTTACAAAACAGACAAGGGCTACCTCAGAAACAAGGATCACTTTGAATCTCCCCCGCTCCCAAGAGCACCATGTGTGTATCTGGTACCCTCGGAGGTCAGAAGATGGGGTGAGATCCCCTGAAACTGGAGTTAGGGATCGTTGTGAGCCACCAGGAGGGTGCTGGGAACCAAACTGGGGCCCTCTGAGACAGTACCATGTGCTCTTAACCTCGGAGCCATCTCTTCAGCATCTTCTGGGAGCTCAGTACTTGTTTTTGAAGGCAGTCACTTCCCCCAGAGACCACTCTGTGGTCTTCTGCTCCCTTTTCTGCCTCGCCTCCACCGACTTCGTGAAATCCCACAGATTTTGCAAGTTCTGTAGTTTCACTTGTCACTTGCCGTGTGGGTAGTGTGTGGCGGATGCTCGACAGCTGCTGTAATCTGCGGGAGACGTGTTTGGGTGGGAATGTTTGTGCTTTGTTAGCGTCTACAGATTACCAGCCTGTAGATGCTCCGGGGGCTGCCCTCTGCTTCCCGTCCAGATGCAACTTGTGAGATTCACACATTGAGAACTCAGGGCAAAGATGTCTTCCTTTTAGAGTGGGGAAAATGAAAATTCAGATCGGCTTTTGGCTCAGATAGGATCTCTGACAGCAGTGAGCTGTCCCAGTGAGACAGGATGTCCCAGCGGTGACTGCCCTGAATCAAGAGCTCTTTCCCTTGTGTTTGGAGGTGGTAAAGGGTGGGAGGCTGATGGTGTACCAGGCTGCTGGCTGTATTTCATCACAACTGAGCCCTCTTTCTTTGGAGAAGTGCTGAATACCGCCCTGGGGTGTGTGTGTGTGTGTGTGTGTGTGTGTGTGTGTGTGTGTGTGTTGCATAGGGTGTGTGAGGGGAGCCACTCACTCACGAAACCTAGTATATGCTAGCCATAGGCTGGACAGCCACCCCGCCCCCAATTACCTAGCTGCACAGTTATCCTGTGTACTGGGTGTCATGTCACGATGAGCTCAGTGAATATCAGAAACAATGGCTTAGGCTCACCCTGGATGTCACAGAGCCCTTATCTCTCAGTTTGATCACTGTACTTCTCTAGGCATCTCTGGTGAAATACTAATCTTATTTTAGCCTCCCCCACCAGTGGACAGGGCATGCGGTTCTGTCTTTTAGACTCAAGACAGTGAAGACTGATAGCGGCCTGTGTTAGTTTATCCCTTCTATACCCCATCAACACATTGACTTTTTTCTTTGAGTCATTTTACTTTTTAGAATGTAAGTATATTTTAAAGGACTGCTTCATATTATTAGAGTAAATAAAGATCCGTGTATAAGTTGCTATAAATAGAAGAAAATCCATAAGAATGAATAGCATTCAAACAAAATAAAGCTCTTAAAATTTAGCTAGAAAGCTGTGTGTGGTGGCATATGCCTTTAATCCCAACTCTCAGGAGGCAGAAGCAGGCAAGTCTCTGAGTTCAAGACCAGCCCAGTCTACATAGTGAGTTTCAAGCCAGCCAAGGGTTACGTAGTAAGATCCTATCTCAACAAAACGAAGTAAATAAAATTTAGCTAGAAACATTCTCTTTTGTCCAAAAAGATTGTTTGTTCACCCCTGTGCACTGGCAGTGTTAACAGCAGTCAGGAAGCAGCAGAAGACCCTGCCCATCCACAGGTGAATGGGTAGAAAAACTGTGCCTACACACAGTGGAATATTATTAAACATCTTAAAAGGACAGTTTTTCCAAAGGTTATATAGCCCAGGCTGGGTTGGAACCTTTGATTCTGCTGCCTTATTCCCCCGAAGGCAGGAAACCGGTTCCTGTAGTTCACTTTGGCCTCAGTACACAGCTAGCAAAGACCTTGAATTCCTGGTCCTCCTGCCTTGGCCTCCCAAATGCTGGGATCACAGGCACATGCCATCAACTCCATCTGGAAGGACATTTAGTATAACACGACTGAATCTCGATAGTGGGCAATGTGAAGTCAGCCAGTCAGAGAAGGACACGCCCACTGGGTGATCCTGGTTATAGGAGCCTTACAGTTGTTGCACTAATAGAGACACATTAGAGTGCTTCAGCCGGGTGTGGTGTTGGCACACCTTTAACCTCAGCACTCGGGAGGCAGAGGCAGGTGGATCACTGTGAGTTCAAGGCCAGCCTGATCCACAGAGCAAGTTCCAGGAGAGCTAAACTGTTACACAGAGAAACCCTGTCTTGAAAAAAATAATAAATAAATAAATAAATAAATAAAGAAAGAAAGAAAGAAAGAGAGAAAGAAAGAAAGAAAAGAAAAGAAAAAAAAAGAGTGATTGCCAGGCCTTTGGGTCTGGTGAGTGGGGTGGGGAAATCAAATCTGGTGTTTGGGAAAATCAAAAAGGTTTGGTGATAGACAATGGTGATGGCTGCACAACAATGCATTACTTCATGTTGCAGAACTCTATAGCTATAAATGGATAAAATAGCAAATTTTGTGATATATTACCAAAATTAATATTTCTTTCTTTTTTCTTCATGCTGCAGACTCCAAAATGGTTTTGGGGGAGCAGGAGTGTCACAGCTGATGCAGAGCAGACATGGCTGAATGGGGCTGGTATGGACAGAGCTGGGCAGGAGTAGGAATTGGCTGGAGGGTGGGTAGATCACGAAGTCAATAGGGAGCCGTTTCTGGTGTCTGAACATGAGAGTGTCTGAAGGCGAGCTCTAAGGTGTGGTATGCAGGGATAACAAGCATCCCAAGCTGAGGCAAGAACAGTGAGGTAGTAAACATAGGGACTATGGGGACCTGGGGATCAGAGCTATCTATGCCTTCAGGGTAAGTGCTCACTGGGGAGCAGGAAGGAGTTGGCCATCCAGTTCTATCTTGGAGGCAGCCAGGGAGACCCCTGATATGAAAGGCTGACAGATGAATATCTGGTTATAATGGCCAAAAAACAAAAGCAGAAAGCTAAAGCAAGGGAGCAAGGGAGCAAGGGAGCTAGGGGTGTGGTTCAGTGTGCAGATACTTGCCCTGCGTGCACAAGGCCCTGAGGTTGAGGCCAAGCGCCACAAAAGACAATAACAAGGCAAAGAAAAACAACATCCAAAAAGGGTAAATGCTTATCTAAGTCACCCAGTGGGAGTGTGGCCAAGGAGTTGAGACACAGTTGTAGCAGGGTTCCTGCAAAACCTTTGATGGCATCTGGGCGGGGAGGCAGTGCCCCTTCTTCCCTCTGAGCCCACTGCACCCACTGTGAGCTGTGGTTTGGGTGACAGAGAGGGGGGACACCGTGCTGGGACCTCCCTGATTTCTCCCTTTGGTTGGATCTCTATCTGCCCCCCCCACCTCTGCTCCACATGGGGCATAGAAGGGCATGTTGTTGGGTTATGGTTTCTCCAGAGATTTGGATAGACTGGGCAAGGGACAGCATCTCTAGTCCCCATTCCTGAATCACTTCCTCCAAGGCTGGTGTTACAGGGTAGAATTGTGGGAGTTCTGGCTAGAGGAGAGGCTGTTGGTCAGCTTCGCTTCCCCTGCTGCTCTGGCCATACTTTCTGAGCTCTGCCCTGGGCTACCTGGAACTGGGTCTTTATTCTCTCTAGGAGATCAACTCAGCATCTGGAACACTTGTCAGTCTTACTGTTGATATGTCCCCACCCCAAGATATTACTACCACACCTCCATCTTATAGAGGGGATATTGAAGCTCAGTCAGTTTAAAGACATTACCCCCACTCTCCTAGCCCATGGGAGGCTTGGAACTTGAACCCAGCATTTCCCAGCCTTAGATCTCTGGATCAATCCCACGGGTTGTCATGCACTCATTGGCCATTTCCCCCTTTCTATAAATGGGGAAACTGAGACCAGGGAGAAGCCATAGCTTGCCCAAGGTTGCAGAGCTGCCAGCCAGCATCTCGAACCCTCCACGTTACCATGCCGCCCTTCCTGGCACATCTTTGGAGTTACAGCCCACCCTGACCCCACGCCCCTCCCAGGAAGTACGTGAGGGGCCCCAGAGTGAGCTCAAGGAGACCTTGGTTTGGCCAACAGCTCAGAGGAAACAGAGGCTGCTACCACGAAAGAAGAAGTGAGGCGTGAGCATGGGGCGAAGTGAGACCAGAGCAGCGAGGGGACAAGGGAGCTGAGGTGAACAGAGAAGCCACAGCTCTCTTGCTCGCTCCAACTTCCTTTTCTCCCTGCAGATGCTGGAAGGCTGAATCAAGACAGCAGTGAGGACGTGACTGCAGCAGCTGCCACAGGTTAGTCCCCTAGATCCCTCCACCTTCCCACCGGTTGATGCCCATCAGCAGACCCCACGAGCCCCTTCCCAGGTTCAGGATGTCCCAGGCGTCTTGAGCTAGGGACCCGCCTCCTTCCAATTCTAAAGAAACCCTTGCTTTCAAAAGTAGCTGCTGAAGTCAAGACATGGCTGTTTTGGGGCCTAGCTTTCTGGGACCCCAGTTTTTCATCTATAAAGCCCTGTAACCTGAATCTTAGGTGACAGAGTGTGGACCGTTAGGTGCTCTGCGTTGGGCTTGGCACACAGAGCCTGTGTCCGGCGAATGGGAACTGGTGAAGTTCCTGAGCAGCCTGGACAGTGTCTCAGAGAAAGTAGACTCCTTGGTGTTTTGCTGTGGCCTTCCTTACCCAGCGGGGGCACAGGCTCATAGTGGCATCTCTGTGGGCTGCGGTTTGCTGATCCACACTGGTACATTTCTCACCCAGGCCAGAGGCAGCTAGAGGAAGCCAGAATCAGGGTCCCTTCCTGTGGTTGACAGGGGTAGCTGTTTGAGGGAGCGTGTATTTAGGAGCGTTGTGCTGGGTGTGCCCTGGTGCTGCTGGTGGGGTACACGATCTGTTCTGGGGGGAAAACAGGGGCTCCCAAGCCTCATGCACAGATGCCTTCCTGCCCAAGGCCTTTAGTTAGAGAACCAGACCTAAGGCAGGGCCTGATTCCCACAAGTAAGGATTCTGGAAGGGGTTATTTGAGTTCTTCCGGGGAAGTAGGTCTATTTGGTCACATTTTACACATGAGAAACTTGGAGGGTCGTGAGGCCAAGTTCTTTTTCTCTTTCTCTTTCTTTTTCTCTTTCTTTCTTTCTTTCTTTCTTTCTTTCTTTCTTTCTTTCTTTTTTCTTCCTCCTCCTCCTCTTCCTCCTCCTCCTCCTCCTTCTTCTTTTTGGTTTTCTGAGACATGATTTCTCTGTAGTTTTGGAGCCTGTCCTGGAACTAGCTCTTGTAGACCAGGCTGACCTCAAACTCACAGAGATTCGCCTGCCTCTGCCTCCCGAGTGCTGGGATTAAAGGTGTGCGCCACCACCGCCTGGCTGAAACCAAGTTCTTAACCCAGTGTCACATAGCTTGGGCACTGGATAGTGGAGCTGCTTATTAAATCCAAAGCTTTCTTTTGTTCACAGATATCTTAATCTCCCTGTTGACCTAGAATAGGTCTTGTCTACTTCCACTTGACTCTCCAGCCACCTTTGGGAAGCTGGTACTGGTGCAGGCTTCGAGCCTGGAGCCCAGGTTTGGGTCCTGGCTTAACTACAAGGCTGCCACTGAACCCCAAGCAAACGCTTTGCTTTCGTGGTGTGTATTGTCTTGCAGTATTCTGGAACCATCTGGAAAGTCAGGACATGGATTCTTGTTTCTCGGGGGGCTTCACGTGATAAGTTAGAGGGTTGGAAACCTGATGGCTGAGGGGACAGGGTGGTGGTGCATGGGTCCTGCTCAGCAGGGGCAGGAAAGGTACCTGGAGGTTACAGTAAAGGTAGTGGTTTACCCTGGGAGTGAGGTAGAAGCCGCAACTTCTGTCTGTTTGGGAGGGGGGACTTCTGCTCTGGCCTTGATTTTTATAGTTGTAAGTGGAGTCAGGCTGCTCTCTCTCTGAGTCTGCTTGGGAGTGGCATAGCTGAGGCCTGGATACCAAGCCTCAGGGCCCAGCCCCTCGAGGTCAAATTCTTCTGCCCACTGGGTTTCAGTTTCTCCACTAATAGTTCTGTCAGCTGAGTTTTTTTTTTTGAGCTAGTAACAATGTTTGTTTTTTATTTAGTTTTCTTTTTTATTATTTATTTATTTATTTATTTATTAAAAATTTCCACCTCCTCCCCGCCTCCCTTTTCCCTCCCCTTCCCCACTTCCCCCTCCCCGCCTCCCCCTCCTTCTCTAGTCCTAAGAGCAGTCAGAGTTCTCTGCCACGTGGGAAGTTCAAGGTCCTCCCCCCTCCATCCAGGTCTATAAAGGTGAGCATCCAAACAAACCAGGCTCCCACAAAGTCAGTCCATGCAGTAGAATAAAAGTCCAGTGCCATTGTCCTTGGCTTCTCAGTCAGCCTTCATTGCCAGCCACGTTCAGAATGTCCATTTTGATCCCATGCTCCAACACTCCCAGTCTAGCTGGCCTTGGTGAGCTCCTTAGCTGAGGTTTTCTACACTAGCAGGTCTTGGCTGTCTCACTGGAAACAGTCTATGTTGTCCCTTCCAAAGCTTCCCCGGTCTTCCCAAAGCTTGCCCCGCATCCCTTCTCTGAGATCTCGGGAAGGTAAGTGAATCATGCCATCTAGCAACCTAGCTTAATTCCTCTCTTAAAACTGGCTTATATGTTAATATAGTATTAGGAAAAAACTGTGGGCTAGGAATGCGACTCAGCTTGCAGAGTGCTTTGCCTAACATTTTACAAAGCCTAGGTTCGATTCCCCCTGCACCACAGAAAACCAGGTGTAGTGGTGCATGCCGGTGATCTCAGAACTTGGGAAGTGGAGGCAGGAGGATACTAGGACGGTGACCAGCCTCAGCTACAAAGTGAGTTTGAGGCTAGCTACGCAGCGTGACCCCGCCTCAAAACCCAAACCAAACCAAATCAAATGATTAAAAATGATGCTTCTACATCACAAAATAAAGGGCCATGTGATGTTAAAAAAAATAAGTGTCAGACTAGAAACTATTTATGCTCATGTAATAGACAGGGATTGATTTTCCTGTTACAGAAACTTCCTATAAAGTGATAGGTACATTGTACCCCAGTGTGCAAATGGTGAACCTGCACACATTCGGGTGACACACACACAGTGACAACTATTTTTGTTTCTGGCAGCACTGGGGATGGGACCCAGACCTGGTTGTGCTTAGCAAGTGCTCTACCACTGAACAACACCCTAGCCTGGCTGCTTGTTTGTAAGGGCAAAAGACTAGAACCGAATCCCTGTCCCATTAAATGTTAGTCACAGCGGGCTGTGAGCTAAATCCTGACTCATCCCCGAGATAGCATTAGCACATGCAGTTGGAGAAGTGGCTTCCCTGGATACAGCTGTAGCAGATGCTCCCAGATGCGTTTTCAAGAGAAAGAGCCGAAGGCAGACTAGTAGGACCCAGGCGCCACTTTGTATAGTTGATGGCAGAAGTCTCATTTGTCCATATTTGTTTAAAGAAACATCAGAGGCTAGCTTGAGCAGACTCCAAGAAAGGGAGTCTCCCGCAGGCCACTGGGTAGCTGGGCTTGCAGAATGGAGGACTGCTTTGTGTTTTACAGCTTTTTGTGGCTATTTCTTTACTTGCTGTTTATATTTGAAAGATGTAAATGTCTAAGCTGTCCGGAAAGTAGCTAGAAACAGAGACACGCAAGCGTAGCGTATGGGTAAGCCCGAGGAGCACAGATGAGGGCGGCAGAGAAGCGGTGTCGTTCCTACACAGATGCACTCCTTCCTCTTTCGCACATGTGAGAAAGGCAGCTTGCTTTTGCAAGGATGGAATTACATTGTTTTACAACCTTAAATTTTTTTTTATATGTAAGGATGTTTTGCCTGCATATATGACTATGCACCACTTGCGAGCCTGGTGTCTAGGAGGTCAGAAGAGGGTGCTGGATCCCTTGGGACCAGAGTTACCATGTGTCCTCTGGAACAGCAGCCAGCGCTCTTAACTTCTTGAATTGTCTCTCCAGGCTCCGGTGTTTATAACCGTAAAGCATTATTTTTCTCTGTTAGTGCTGATGATCCCCAGGGCTTCGCATGCACTAGGAAAGTGCTCCGCCACGGAGCCACACCTTGGCCCCGGTGTGTGTCACTTTCAGAATCTCTTTCACTCAAAATGCTATGTTGTGCTCATTTTTAACTTTCAAAAGTAAAATTTTAATTCATTGTACTCTCTCAACACTGGTCATCGAACCTAAGCCCCGTGGTTGCTAAGCAGTTACCACTGAGCCACGTCTCTGGTTCTCCTTTTTTAAGTGTTAATTTTGGGAGAAGTTTCAAATCCACAGGTGCTTGCAAAAAAAGAGAATCATGCAGAAATATTCTGTGTGTTCTTCACCCAGTTTTCTCCTATAGGGATGCCTATAGTGTAATCTCTGGCTCAAGAAATTCACATTAGTGCGGTTCTCGGAGATCACCAGCTCAGTATGTGTTTGCTTGCACACCAGTACAGTGTGGGTGGGATCAAGTTTTATGCAGTTTATCAAATGTAAACTCCCGGAGCAGTCAACAAACACAGTCACGGTACAAACTGCTCCATCGCCACATGGGTCCTCGCGGTCCCCCTTCCTAGACGCATGGGAGCCCTCCCTTGCCTGTGGCAACCACTGATCTCTCTGTGTCTCTGTAATTATCATTTCAAGCATATTCTGCTCGTCACATCACAAAAGTCTTAACATTTTGAGATTTTTTTTTGTTTACTCAGTCGAATTCCTTTGAGATACTTCTAAGTGTATAGTTTCTTGTTTTTTTTTTTTTTTTCGTTTTGTTTTGTCTTTGATTGATACAGGACTCACTAAGTAGACCAGGCGGTCCCAGAACTCACAGAGATTCACCTACTTTTGCCTCAAGTGATGGGATTAATGACATGTGCCACCACACCTGGCAAGTATATAGATTTATAAAGAAATACATTTCCCTGAATTGCTGAGTTCTTATGGCATGGCTGTTGTGTGTATGAGTGGGATGCACACATGCCATTGAAATGTCGATGTCAAAGGACAGTGTCTTGGATTTTGCTCTCTCCAGCCTTCACTTGGGTTGCAGGCACTGAGTTCATGTCACCAGGCTTTTGTGGCAAGTGCCCTTACCCACCGAGCCATCTTGCTGGAGCCAATTATTTTTATGGAAGATTTTCATTTGTTTCTGTGTGTAAGAGTTTGCCTATGCATGCACACAGAGGCCAAAAAAGATGTGGGGCATCTTACATCCTTTGTAACTGTTCCTCTTAGGCAGAGCCTCTTGAACCTGACGTTTGTGCCTCGGTTAGGCTGGAAACCAGCAAATCCCAGACGTCTCCCTGCCTCTCTCCGCTTGGCACTGGGGTACAGGTGCTTGTGGGGGACAGTGTCTTGTTACATGGGCGCTGGCATCTGGATTCCAGGCCTCATGACGGTAGGGCAAACAGTCTTAACTGTGCAGCCATATTTTCATCTGCAAACTAACTCCTTTCTTTCTTCCTTCCTTCCTCCCTCCCTCCTTCCCTCCTTTCCTCCTTCCTTCCTTCCTTTCCTCCTTCCTTCCGTTCTTCCTTCCTTCCTTTCTTCCCCTTTCTCTCTTTTTCTTTTTGTGGTACTGAATCAAAGGCCTCACACATGCTAGGCAAATGTTCTACCACTGAGCAATATTCTGTAGTCTTTTTATTTTTGTAATCTTTAGAATTTATTTATTTATTTGGTTTTTTGAGACAGGGTTTCTCTGTAGCTTTGATGCCTGTCCCGGAACTAGCTCTTGTAGCCCAGGCTGGCCTCAAACTCACAGAGATTCGCCTGCCTCTGCCTCCCAAGTGCTGGGATTAAAGGCGTGCGCCATCACCGCTCGGCTAGAATTTATTTTGTTTATTGTCTTTGGGTTTCTGTTGCTGTGACAAAAACTTCATGACCAAAAGCAACCTGAGGAGGAAAGGATTTATTTCAGCTTACAGTTCACAGTCTATCATGAAGGGAAATTAGGGCAGCGGCTCAAGGCAGGAACCAGGAAGTAGGAACTGAAACAGAGGCCATGGAGAAATGTTTCTTTCTGGCTTATTCTTCATGGCTTGCTCAGCCCGATTTCTTTCTTTCTCTTTAAACTTAAAAAAAAAATTATGTGTATTGATGCTTAGCTCACATGTATATTTATTCACCTTGTATGTGCCCGATGCTGAGGGAGGCCAGAAGAGGGTGTTAGATCCCCTCGAACTGAAATGACAGATGGTTGTGAGCCAGTATGGGTTCTGGGAATTGAACCCACCCAGGTCCTTTGGAAGAACACTCAGTACTCTTAACTGCTGAGCTGTATCTCCAGCCCTTAGCCTGCTTCCCTATAGCACCTAGAACCACCAACCCTGGGGTGGCGTCTCCCACAGCGAGCTGGACCCTCTCCCATCCATCAGCAAAGGAAACGCCACGCAGGTCAGCCTGGTAGGATGATTTTCTCAGTTGAGGTTCCTTCTTCCCAATGACTCTAGCCAGCACATTAATTAATTATCATGTTGCACAAAAGTGGATATGTGTGTGGCTTTATTTTTTAACATTTATTTATTTTGTGTGTGTGTGTGTGTGTGTGTGTGCATGTGTGTGCACTCATGCTCCTACACAACATGTATGTGGAGGTCAAGGGACAACCTTTGGGAGTGGGCTTTCTCCTTCCACCATGCACTCTGCAGAAGGAATTCAGGTAGCCAGGCCTGCGCAAAATGCTATGTAGTTGTGTTTTGTTTTGTTTTGCTTAGAAGTATGTTAGGAAGAGGAAACACCCGTTGAGGAATTGTTTCCGTCACACTGCCCTGTGGGGCATTGTCTTGACTAACATGAGAGGGGAGGGCCAATGTGGGTGGCGCCCCTGTCGGGCAGGTGGTCCTGGGTTCTATGGGAAAGCAGGCTGGGAAAGTCACGAGGAGCAAGTCAGTAGGCACGTTCCTTCATGGCTTCTGCTCCAGCCCCTGCCCTGATTTTCCTTCATGGTGGAATGTGAGCTGTAAGCTGAAATGCCCCCAACCAGATGCTTTTGGTCATGATGTTTATTACGCAGCCTGTGCTCTTACCATCTGAGCATCTCACTGGTCCTATTTTTAAAAATTCTTTCCTTAATAGCTTTAATTAATTCCTGAAGTAATTTAGTGAAAAGTAAGTCCCACTGATCTGGTTAGGCGCATTCTAAACAGATGATCACAGAAATCGATCGTGTGCACTGTGTATAGCGGCGTGAAGGATTGCTTTGCTTAGTTTTGCTGAACTGTTTTTCTTTCCGAATTTTCATCCTTTGGGGCTCATGTTTGCATTCTACTGAATGAAGTCACAACGCAGATATACAGTTTGGGAAGCATCAAGGTCTGATGCCGTGATGTGTCAAAAGCAGGAAGCAGCACAGGTGGCCACCAGTCATGAATGTCTTCATCCCGTTTGCTTGGCAAAAGGACCAAGAAAAGTTCTTCAGATTCATTTAGACACATGGAATTTTTGCCGTGTTATTTTATTCTTCTTTCAAGATTTTTATGTCAGGGCTGGAGAGATGGTTAAGAAATTAAGAACGCTGACTATTCTTTCAGACGTCCTGAGTTCAATTCCCAGAAACCACATGGGTAGCTCATAACTGTCTATAAGATCTAGTGCCCTCTCCTGGTCTACAAGAATACATGCAGGCAGAATACTGTATACATAATTAATAAATAAATCTTTTTTAAAAATTGTTTTTATTGAGCTACATATTTTTCTCTGCTCCCCTTCCTTCCTCTCCCTTCCCTCCTTCTACCTTCTCCCGAGGTCCCCATGCTCCCAATTTACTCAGGAGATCTTGTCTTTTCCTACTTCCCATGTAGATTAGATCCATGTATGTCTCTCTTAGTGTCCTCTTTGTTGTCTAGGTTCTCTGGGATTGTGATTTGTAGGCTGGTTTTTCTTTGTTTTATGTCTAAAAGCCACTTATGAAAGAGTGTATATGATGTTTGACTTTCTGGATCTCGGTTACTTCACTCAATATGATATTTCCTAGATCCATCCATTTGCCCGCAAATTTCAAGATGTCATTATTTTTTTCTGCTGTGTAGTACTCTAGTATGTAAATGTACCACACGTTCTTTATCCATTCATAAATAAATCTTTTAAGAAAAGATTTTTATATCAAATTGATTCTTGGCTTAAATGAATAATGTTGCCATAGCACTAAAAAATGTGGTAAAGCCAGGCATGGTGACCATGCCTTTAATCTCAGCATTCCTGAGGCAGAGGCAGGAGGCTCTCTCGGAGTTTGAGGCCAGCCTGGTCTACATGAGTTCCAGGACAGCCAGAGCTACATAGTGAGACCCTGTCTCAAAAACATAACAAAGCAAAATTAATTTATTTTTACATCTATCTATCTATCTATCTATCTATCTATCTATCTATCTATCTATCTATC